CCGGGTACCGGTACCGGTACCGTACCGTACCTACCGTACCCGTACCCCTACCCTACCTTCCTACGTACGTAGTAGTACGTACGTACTACTTACTACTCTCTCTCTCTCTCTCTCTCTCTCTCTCTCTCTCTCTCTCTCTCTCTCTCCTCTTTTCGTATCTCAATGAGCTAGTTTATTTTTTTTAAAATGTAGAATGGTAGTGTGTCAGTATCTATTTAATTCTAAAATGATAGTATTTGTGTCTTGTATGCTTGTGACTTTTTATTTCTTATCTTCATTTTCATCCTCTAAGGTAAACTTATCATATACCTAGAAGGAATGAAGTACATTGCTTAAACACTTAGGAATGGTTGGATCACAGATAAAGAAGAGTGTCAGTGTGTGTTGGGAGGCAGTATGAGAGAGGGAAGCGAGAGAGATCCAAGGGGAGAGGGAGTGTGAAAGTAGGCCAAGAGAGACTAGAGAGAATAAAAATGGGAATATAAAAAAAATCCTTAATCGCCGTACATTTGCTATTCTCACAAAATCCACAGAACTGAAAAAAAAAAAAAAGATCAGGAAAAAACAAGAAAACTAAACAGAGGACAGAATAAATGCTCCCCGAGTAGAGAGAGTCGAATCTGGCACCCAACTTGTAGAGAGAGAAAGGTGAAACAGGCACCCCAACATAGGGATAGAGAGAGAAAGAACCGAATCTGGCTTCCAACATGGAGATATATAGAGATATAGAGTGTTTAAGCAATGTGCTTCATTCCTTTAAAATATATGTACATGGTACACATGATAACCCTACCTTAGAGAATGAAAAAGAAGACAAAAGAAATAAAAAGTCACAAGCACACAAGACACATACACTACTATTTTGGAATTAAATAGAAACAAACATACTACCATTCTGCAATTAAATAAAACAAAACTGGTCCATGGAGATACAAATAGAGAGGAGAGAGAGTGTGAGAACTGAGAGACTATCCATCCATTGAAGAGAGAGCATCAGTGACAAAAAAGAGTAAGGTTGTTCAGCCTACGGCGACGCGCCGTTGCCATATTTTTTATTCCTTCGATGCTCACCCATTTTTGCCCTTCACTATTCCTAGCACTTTTATTGAAACGGCTGAGAATCTCTAAGAAAGGTGGAGGAGGCGGAGGTTGATCATCATCAAGAGGAGGATGTTCACATTATCCTCAAACACCTTGTTTATGGCATTTAGTATAGATTCATGAGTGATTGTTCCACTCTCTATACCAATACCTAATTCCCACTTTTGGTCAAACCACTTGACATTCATACGTTGATGGCGGCTCAAAGGGATACAAATCATGAGCAATTGTGCACTGATGGATTCCAAGACGGAATCCCAACCACAAGAAGTTCTAAAAGCAACTATAGCATGATGTCTCATAATATCATGAGTACTCCTTTGCAAATTGTACCTTGTTCTGTAGCAAGGGCTGCTTAAGCTCCTAAGGGTTGGACCCTTCTACCGTGGCCCTCAACATTGTGTGGAAGCTTCTTAGGCAAGTAGCATTAAAAGCAATACCCACCTAATACATCCGCCAACCAATAAACTGATTTACTCGAGCCTAATATTTTTTTT